AGCATCCTCCTTCACTGTCTCAACCAGCATCCACCCCTTGTGAGTGCCTCTAGGGTGGTGTTGCACTCCTCGTACAGAAGCCTGCTTGCCATAGCAACCTAAAAAGTTAAGATAAAAGTCAGCAAGTGGCGAAGATAGCATGCAAAGAAAAGAAGGGCAAACTACCAGTACATTTGCCGCATAACTGCACGTTAAAGCCAACATCTGAGCAGGGGGCAAGTCCCTGACAACTGCTAATGTTGGCAGGGTGATGCAATCCTTGGCCACTGCAGCCCCAACGTTGATATGGTCGGGGAGTTAATCGATCAGCGCATCAACCACAACTTGGGCCGTTCCGCCTGTTTTCTTACTCTTCGGCTGAGACAAGCTAAATTTGCTTCCCCCAACAACACCTGCCTCACCACAGAAGCAGACTTCTTCTTGGCCAATTCTTTAGCCGTTGTCATATTTTGGCCGTTAGCCTGCACGACGATCTCATTGCCTGAGCCAACTTGCTGCTCGACCACTTTTTGTTTGCTCGTTTATTTTCTTTTTGCCCAAGCCATCATGTTGCTCGGATGCCTTTTGCTTTCTCGAACTCCTAGTTAGCTTGGGTGTTTTCTTCACTAGCCCCTTTTAGGGCTTGTAGGTACTCTTCCCACCAACTGCTTTTGGGACAGTTGCGATCTTTTTTGCGCTTGGGCCTGCCCCAAGCTTGCCACTAGCTCTCTTCATGCCGGCAGTGTCAACAGCCTACTTCGTTGCCAGAGCACCCGATGCTATTTTGGTAGTCGTCAAGGGTGCTGTTTTCTTTTTAAGGCCTTTCGGTTTGTTGGTCTACATCTCTGCAAGAAAGGATGCAAACAGTGAGCAACCTATTTACATGGGAAAATAAACGCGAGCAATTTGTAACTTAAACTTTTTTTAAAAATTGTAAGGAATCTGGTCTTGTCCTGACAAAAGTCCTACGCTTTCAGGTGAGGAAGTGTGAGAAGCTCGTTGATGTTATGCTAAGAATTGGGAAGGTCGCTGAAACGCTGCAGCCTCTGCAAGCTCGCGGCATAAAGATAATTCTGCTCGATGCTAACTGCAAAACAAAAACAACTCAGTTAGCTCAGATACAAAGCTCGAAAGTGACCCTTGCGCACGCGGGGAATCAAAGTTTCACTCGCGTTTGATGTGAAAGCGCCAGTCTCTCGAGCCTCATAGAAGAAAAACTGAGAGTCCTAGTGCGAGACCTTATTCGGGACGTTGACCAGCCCGTTGAAACATATCTTTCTCTCCTTGGAAAGGTAGTAAGTCTGGTCTTGCCCTTTCTTGAGCCTACACAGATGGACAAGCTCTTCAACAGATGGACAAGCTCTTCGATAAATGGTTCACCCAATTTGCGATCATGTATGCGATGTACAGACTGATGAGAATGACATATGAATTTGCAGAACAGTTTTAGCATGTTATCAATAAAACAATGAGGGGGAATAGATACCCTACATCTCAAGAGGGTCTTAGAGGTTGCCACCCATCCGACAAGGGGGTTCTTCCAAGAATATGCCCCCGGAACCATCAAATTAAGTTGCGACGCATAGGTCACTCTTATGCACTCTAGAACCCTGACTTTAATCGAGGATTATGACTCTCTTCATAACCTATGGACTGGAGACCGCGTGGCCTGACCTCAACTGTATCGAAGCGCAATTAGAAGAGCCTGGCGCGTCGGGGTTTAAGCTTCCCACGATGATCTCCTCAGAGACCTTAGGGGTTGAATCCCCGAGGACAGCTGAGCCCACAGGCAAATCAAACATGCGATCGGTTGTGTGACTGCTAGAAGAATACATGGTAATAGCTTGCTTCTGGGTACCTAAAAAAAAAAGCGAACATGTGTCAAAGCTCGAAAGATTCAGCAACCAATTCACACTTGCTTCCAGATCAGGCACCCAAGATAGCTCGCGCCACACTACGAAAGCGCACGACTTACTCAGGGACTCAATGACCACAACGTTAAACCCTTCTTAAACCCAAGATTGTTGGAGACCACCTAAAAACCCTACTAAAAACCCTAAAATGCTCAATGTGGCCACTACAATGACCACCCTTTGACATGAAAACCAGAAAAACAAACAAAGAAAGGGAAAAGAACCTTACCAGAGTGAGAGAAGTGCCAGAAAGAGTGCCGTGATAACGACAAAATAGCAGCAGAATGCACAAGAATGCTAGAACACTTTCATGGACTGAATTAGGATTCTATTGACTTTTCCACCTTTTATAGTAGCTTGCATGGGAGACGAAAGGGTGGGGTTTGATCGCAGCCGTCGGGTTGCAGTGAATCTCGACCCTTCATTTGTTGAGCAATCTCAGCCTTTAGGCGTGGCTACATGTCGACCATCCGCTGGGGGTAACGAACTGTCAGAGTTTTACACTGATAACCATCGTCGCATGTCACCTTGATTTCATGCGTGGACAGCTGTAGTCTCCCATGTGCGATGAAACGTGATTGACAAAGGCTGTTGCATTTAATGCGACATGATCACATTGAAATTACATGTTTGCCCTAACTTTTGATATTCTGAGTTTGGCAGTAAACAAGTGTGAAACACGTCGATCGGACATGAGCTCAACACTATGAGCTCGACCAAACCCACATCTGAGGAACAATTATCATTCCGAGATTGGCATCATGTCAGGCAATAGTCTTCAAAGCTCGAAACGAGCTTCAAACACTAGGGGTGTGATTTTTCCACCAAGCTCGGGATATCGCGAGGATATAGCTCAACCTGGTATCAGCTCGACTTCACCGGTTGTCTAGTCCAGCATAAGCTCATCGACATTCAGCTCGACCTAGCACAAGCTAGTCACGAACAACCCGAATGATTACTCAATCAATTCCTAGATAACTTCAGATCCCAGATATTGCGGGGAAGACTGGATCAACATCAATCTCTGTGCAATTATAACGCCTAGTCGTGAGAATATTAGAATTGCATTTCGAATCAATTATAATCCCTTTATTTTCGCTCTTTCCTTTCTACAAATCTTGTATATAAATCCCCTACAACGATGAAAAAGGGGTTAGAAAATTTTCATATAACTCTAACTGTAAGCTCTCACAGCAAATACAAACATACTGGGTGTAGGCTCAAGAGTTTATCTCGCTGAACCACTTTAAAAATCTCTTTATTATTTACATTATTGCATTCGTTATTTTTTATCGTTGATTAGCTGTAATCACGCACATATCGGTTCTCATCCCGACAAGGTCGATCGGATCACTCTAGTTGATGCAAATTTCTGTATCAACAACTGATATCCTAACACCTTTGGTAAAGCGATTTCCTTCTGACAATTTATCAGAAAAAGTGAATTTTCAATCTTGACAAATTCAATGATGTCTGAGGAAGACCTTCTTTTAGGAAGGATGCATTTTTTATGGCTAATCTACAACAGTTCAATGAACAATTTTTCTGTGTAGAAACTTGGCAATTGTAAATTTATAAAATGGAGTGTACTATTTGGTAACAAACATTAATTTGTTATATTAGTTCAAATATATATACAAGAGGCCAAAAGGTAAAATTAATCGCTCAAAATTTGGATGTTTTTCAAAATGGGTAAATATGTATTATATTTAGAAACTCAATTATAAACTAACTCATACAAATTGATGTATTATAATATGGTTAAATGATTTAAAATTATTAAAATGGATGATGTGGTAAGCATATAAGGTTGCGGCATCAGTTCATATGAAAAGTTTTTATATATTGCATTTCTTTTTTGGAAATAGAGGAAAACTAAATTTAGTGAAAGATTCCGATGGCATTTTAATAAAAACATTTGGTTTTTTTAATACATATGATTTATTTATTTATTTTTGTTTAAAAACAATACTAATTGTCAATATACAAGCCCTCAAAATCTTAGGTCCAAATGACTCAGCCTTAGTTACAAACTGTTGTCAAAGGTTATTCTAAATACACGCCAGTAGTTTTTAAGTACCCCCACATTAAAAAGAATTAATCCTGCTGACCAATTTTTATTATGAGTGAACTTAAGAAGAGGTGGGGTGTATATAGAAGCTAGTCCTCATCACGTTTTTTACAGATATTCATTGCAACAAAACTAATAATTTAGTCTTCTTTTATAACGTGTAAAGATTCAAAAAAATGTGGCGGCCTTCTTTTGAACTTTCTGACATGCATAAAACCGTGTAACGTGTCAAAATCGAACGCCCATTTCGTAAATTTTTCCACAGTACAAAGCTTGTTTATTATGCAGAACATGTTAAGAGCCAGCACACTGCATATCTTTTGTTTATTCTAGATTTCTTTCGGTCAAACAAGTTTTCGTGCCGCCTAGCCTGGCTTTAATCCCCGGCTAGTCGGCTACCACCTGAGGCAGCATCTTCGAAGGCCCAAACCTTAGCTTTAAAATACTATATACTTATATATTGGGTTCTCTTAATTTTAAATACATAAAAAATATTCTAATAAATTAATTAATAACAACCTGCTTTCACATTCACGCGTTTATCGATACTTTGCAATTAAATATTTATATTGAGAAACAAAAAATCACATGTATTGATATATAAAAATGAGATCCTTAATTAAAAATATAAAAAGACAAATTAATTAACTTTATAACCTTAGTAAACTTTGATTTAATAACTAAATTACCGGATTCTGCTCCCTCGCTGACCTTATGGTAAACTGAACTAACCTAATTTTTGTGTCCCTGGATAGGCAAAGCTGATTTATAGTAGTTAAAGTGAAAGCTTCTTACTCTCTCAATTCCTTTGATTTAGTACTGATAAAGTGTTTATGTGGATAAATAAAATAGAACAAAAAATAGTTAGTGATAAATTTGCTTTAATCCTCATAAAAAAGTATTAACTTAGGCTTAGAATAAAAGTATAATATTATAAACCAGGTAGTAATTTTTTTTATTCTTTCTCTATTTTTAGTGCGTTGACTAGTCTTATAAATAGAGTTCTCCCTTTCAGAGTCACTTCAGAAGTTGTCCATCATCTGATAAATATGTCTAAAAGTTCTTCCACAGCTCTCCTCCTCCTCCTCACCAGCTTTATCCTCCAGCTCGCTGCCACCGCCATCGCCATCGGTGTGAACTATGGCACGTTGGGAAACAACCTTCCGCCGCCTGCTGAAGTGGCTAACTTTCTAGCGACAAAAACATATATTGATCGCATTAAAATCTTTGATACAAACCCTGAAATTCTTCGTGGCTTTGCCAACACTAACATTTCTGTGACGGTAACCGCTGGCAACGGTGATATTCCTGCTCTTACTAAGCTCGATACTGCTCGCCAATGGGTTGCTGCAAACATAGCTCCTTATTATCCACAAACAAAGATTATTCGTGTTGCTGTTGGTAATGAAATCCTACAAAGTGCTGTTAAGGAATGGATTTATAATCTTCTTCTTGCTATGAAAACTCTTAACCAGGCTTTGGTCGATGCTGGGTTTAAAGATATCAAGGTTAGTTATCAATAACTAGTTAACTTTATATAGCTGAAAACGAGTTTCTAATATTTGATAGTTGATTTTACATTATGCCAAATTGCCAATTCATATTTAAATTTTTTTGCAGGTTTCAACACCGCATACTCTAGGCTTTCTCCAGACGTCAGAGCCACCAAGTGAAGGGCGGTTCAGAGTTGGCTATGACAAACAAATAATAGCCCCAATGCTTCAATTCTTACGCGAAACCAAGTCAGTTTTTATGATTAACCCATATCCTTATTTCGGCTACTCGCCAAAGATGGAAAACTACGCGGTATTTAAAGCCAACCAAGGATTGTATGACAAGAACACTCACATCACATACTTTAACATGTTTGATGCCCAAATGGACGCTGTATATTCCGCCATGAAAAGGCTTGGTTACGGTGATGTGCCCATTGTGGTGGCTGAGACCGGTTGGCCCTCGGCTGGAGACCCGGATCAGCCGGCTTGTACTATGGAAAATGCACGTTCATTTAATTGGGGCTTAGTTAGGCATGTTAAGACCAGGAGAGGAACACCTTTGATGCCCAACCGCCGATTCGAAGCTTATATTTTCGGCTTGTTTAATGAGAATCTTAAGCCCGGACCAACTGCTGAGAGGAATTTTGGGTTGTTTTATCCAGATTTTACCCCAGTTTATGATGCTGGAATTATGAAGGTACGAATTTGATCATTATTTGTCATTTTTTCTTTACCTTTAACATTTTATTATTGAATTTAATTTATATATATATATTTTTTATTTAGGTTACATTAACACCACCAACACAAAAACCATCTCCAATAGCTGGCAAGAAATATTGTGTAGCAAAAGCAGAAGCTGATGATAAAGCGTTGCAAGCAAACATAGAGTATGTGTGCAGCAAGGGCATAGATTGCAAGCCCATTCAAGCTGGTGGAGCTTGTTTTGATCCCAACACTGTCCGTTCTCACGCAGCCTTCATCATGAATTCTTACTACAATTTTCATGGCCGCCAAGATTTCAACTGCGATTTTGGTGGCACCGGTGTCATTACCACTCAAAATCCAAGTAAGACTGCTATATCATTCTTTTAATTGGCATTTTTATTAAACTAAGTTGATAATTAAAATATTTATTGATTTGTTCTATTTTTATATGTTTTCTGAGTACAGGCTATGGCAACTGTTTCTACTAGAGAGATCCTGTTGGCAGATGGGGAGATGGGCGGCTTTATTAACAGTGGATTACGTTTAGAGAAGTGTTATTTATGCGCAGCATGATGTTTATTAATTGGTTTTCTTTAGTAAAGACGTGTGTAGTTCAGCTTTGACTTCAATTACTTTAACAATTAACTGTACTAATCATTTATTAAATAAAAGAATTAGCGTTGTTCATGGTGATTATGTTCTTTTACAATTGCCAGCTGCTAAAATAGTTTTCTATACTCGTTTGAAATTTTGAATACATATTCCGGCCGTTCTTATAACAACTAAACAAAGATTCCAGGAAGAAATTGAACTAAATTCTAATTCATTAATTTATCTAACATCTTAATACTTTATATTAAATGATATTAAATGATACTAATTAATAAGGTATTATATTTAAGGCCATGTTTACTTCTCTTTTAAACAATGAGAATCACCCGTTCCCTTGTTTACTTGGGTAAGATTTTTAAGAGACGGTGATCTTCTTGGTACCCCATTTCTTTAAACTTGGAAATGGGCAATCGTCCCAAATTCAAGAGGCAAGGAAAGGGTAGAAATTCCTCCTTGCTCCTGTTTGAAATTTAAATTCCTATTTTTACCTGTGTAGTAATTTATTTACATCCCGTTTGGTTCACTATTTTGAAAGTTTTTAGAATAGACTTTTAGAAAAAGTTGAGTTAAGTAGTATTCTGAAAAGTGTTTTGTACATTTTATAATAGCATTTTCTGAAAATATTTAGATTATTTTTAACCCCTTAGTTTTGTTAATTTAACTAAACATCCCTAACAAAAAAAAGTTTAGAAATTAACAAAAACACCCCCATCTATCCACCCACATTTGCCTGATTTCGGCCACCACTGCTAGAAGGTGGTCAGAAATGACGTAATGGCACACTACTGGTTGGATCTGGCTGGTAGTGCACCGATCTAGTTTTTTTCGGCCAGATCCATTGTGGATTTGGTCGGAAAGGGCCACGACCAGATCTGGCCAGATCTTTTAGTCGTCGTTGATAGTCATATCTTGGTCGTCATTGATAGTCATATCTTGGCCGTCGTTGACAAACATATCTTGATCGTCGTTGATGGCCAAATGATAGTCAAGATATGGCCATCGTCAACGGCCAAAAGATCTGGCCAGATCCACCGGAAAAGGCCAGATCGAAAAGGCCAGATCAGCGTACTACAAGCCATATCTAGCCAGTAGTGTGCTATTACAATAGATTTCACCCACCTTCTGATGGTGGTGGCCAGAATCTGGCAAATATAGATGGATGGGTGGGTGGATGGGTTGGTGGGTGGGTGGGGGTGTTTTTGTCAATTTATAAACTTTTATTGTTGGGGGTGTGTAGTTAAATTAACAAATCTAAAGGGTTAAAAGTAATCTAAATATTAGAATAATATTGTATTTTGAAGAGAATTTTGAATATTGAAACAAAAATGTATTTGGATAGGAGAGTAGAATATGGTACAGAAAAAAAGTGAACCAAAGGAGCCCAAATTTTGATCGTTTTATATTATAATATTTATTAATTAAAATATTCAAAAATTTATTTATTGTTTTGTCCCTGTTATTACATTGCCATCGTTGTCAGCACGGTTAGTCAGTCACCAACTTCGTTATCATTTTGAAGAATTGCTATATTTGTTGCAAAGTTTTGAAACTCGGATCGCCCCTTGACATTCTCGGGTTGCCCATTTCGACTGGTTGGATCGGTCGGTCAGATCGGTGAGTCAGCATGTCCAGTAGGTTTGAAATCCTGCAAACACCAGTGCAAAATTACGTATCAGTCTCTACAAGTTTGAAATCCAGCAAAGACACCTTTATGATTTGGGCAAGAAACCGTGAAGCAGCCAAGTGGCGATGTTGGTGACCGGCGGCCAATCAGAATTTTGGATGATTGGGGTTCGATGTGGAGATGAAGATGTTGATGGTGGTGTTAGGTGGGATGCACGGGAAGCTGCAAGAATCAGGGAGGAAGACATTAAGTTTTTGTGAACTAAACAAGAGGTGGCGATGATGATCAGTAGCTAATCAGAGTTTGGGATGATGGGGGCTTTTGATGTGGAGATGAAGGTGATGTTGATGATGGTGTCAAGTGGGATGGTTGGCATCAGAAGTTGCTAGAATCAGGAAAGAAGTTGCCGAAATTAGGGATTTGGTGACTCGGGTTAGCTACCGAACTGGTCAAACCAGCGATTCGTTACTGTTTCGTTGATCTAAAGCCGGTCCAATCCGAGCCATAAGCTAATATCGGGTGTTGAGTGTTTTCAAACCAAAGAGGGGGCTAGTTCCCCGTCGGACCAGTCGAATTGGCTGGTCCAATTCGATCTGGGTTCCAGAACACTGATCTCTGTCATAGTTGAGCATATGTTGATATCACTGACACGTGAAAAGTTGGCCAATAATTTGTGAATTTGGGAAGATTTTGACCATTATTGATAATTGGCTACTGGACATGCGACGGTCGGCAGACACGGTCGTTGTGCATGACATCATGCCACAAGTGTGAAGAGTAGTTGTCGTTCGACGATGTTGACTAGTTGAACATTTTTTAATTTTTAATTTAAATAAAAGATTATAATATTGTCTTTATTAATTAAAATAAATTAATGTTATGATAAACAAATTAACTTAATAATATGACATCTATAATTTGTAATGAATAGTTTAGTTTCATATGTTAACTTATTGGGTAATTTTTGTGTAATTAATTTTTTATGGATTCCATTTTTTTGATAAAACATACAAATAAATTCATTTAAACTTAACCATATTTTTGTAAAAGAAAAAAAATTCATTCCAATCCATCAATGTTCCTTGCTATATGTATTTAGGGTGTGTTTGGTTCATGAAATGTTGTAATATTACTAGGAATGATATGTCAGTGGAAAGATAGATTACTTTGAAGATTACTATAAATGTTAGGAAATGTGTTTGGTTAGTTAGAATAAATTGATGGGTATGTTATATTAATATATTTGGTTGAGAGGAATAAATTGTCCGGTATGCTATATAATTTACTAAATTGCCCTTATTTTTAATTATTAATATAATATTATTTATTATTATTATTATTTTTTGAATAATTGTTTTAACTTGCTACATTTGAGATATTGCTAATCTGGCAATTGTGGTCAGAATGGTGCATGACTGGCCAGATCTGATTGGCCGTGAGCCAATCTAGCTAAAATTGGCCATTGTTAACAGCTAGAGTTTTGGTCATTGACGGCCAGAGAATTTGGCCGTAGTTTTGGTCAAAAATAGCCATAATAGTTCTAGTTGTTTCCGGCCAGATCTATGATGATCTGGTAGTTTATGGAAACGGCCAGATAGGTGCGAGGCTGACCAGATCTGACCGGTCGTGCACTGTTCCGACGTTGGTGTCCGACAGCCAACGGTGGTGGCCAATTGTCGACCATTGGCGGGGTAATTTTTTTAAAGCCAAGGGGTATTTATATCCTAAAAAATTTGTATATAAAGATAAAATAGTCCATTAGTATTTTTGTAAATTGTTTTTAAAACAAGAGCATTATTGTCCAAAAATTTTAATAGTGAGGGATAAATTTGTAACAAAAATAAGATTACCAAGTAATCTTAAGAAAATGAAGGTAATCAGATTATCTCCTATACAACCAACAATAATGACTATTGATTTTAGAAGATTACCAAAATCTTATATTACTTGTCAACCAAACGTGATAATCAAGTAATATAAGATGAGATTACCTCAGTAATGAAGGATTACCCCCAACCAAGTAAGGGTGTTAAAAAAATGCAAAAACCGAACCGAACCGAAAAAACGGTTCGAAAAATTCAAAAAACCGGATTTTTGGTTTGGGAAAAAATATAAAATGGTTAATCGAAACCGGTTTTTTGAACCAGTTTTTTGAACCAGTTTTATATATGTATATATTAAATAAAAATAAAAATATATATTATATATTAAATAAAAATAATAATTTTATTTCGGACTTTTATTTGTATCAATTTTTAATGTATTGTTAGTAGTGGTCAATAGATACGTATGAATGTTTAATTTTTATTTGAATATATATTGTTTATATTTACAATTTAATTTAGGAAAAAAATAAAAAAATAAGTTTTATAAAAAAAAAAAGAGAAAACAGGTTAACCAGTTAGGTTAAAAAAAGCTGATTAACTGCTTTTGAACACCCCTACAACCAAGGACACCCTTAATGTAATTTTATTCCATTCCTTTGTACATTTTTGTTCCCTCATGATCCAACAAGTAGACACACCACCCGGCACCAGCTAAGATAATAACTAATTAAATCACTAAATAACATAACTTCAATCTTGACTCTCTTGATTGGATTTATGGGATTAATTCATTCCACATTAAAATTGGATTTTATATAATATATGAGAGGGTTCGTTAAAATTAAACATTAATATTCGATTTTTTTTTTTTTTTAAGTTTAATCACTTTGATATTTTAGTTAAAATAATTAAAAGGAAATGTTTATAAGATTATCATACAATTCGATTTAAAATTCGATACACAAAAAGTTGTGATGTTAAATATTAAACAGAAAATGCCTAATTCTAATGTCTCTTGATTGGCATAGCTGATTTATAGTGGTTAAGTATAACTCTATTAATTCCTTTGATCTATTACTGATAAATAAATGAGAACACAAACAAAGTTAGGGATAAGTTTACTTTTATTTTTATTAAACTGTATTAAGTTTGGCTTGCAATAACAGTATCATCTAATAAGCCAGCTAGTAATTTTTTATTTTCTCTGTTTTACGAGATTGATTTGTTTTATAAATAGTGTTCTCCCTTACAGACTACAGTTACAGGGTCACTTCAGAAGTTTCCCATCATCTAATAAAAATGTCTTCGAGTTCTTCCACGGCTCTCCTAATCTTCATAAGCTTCATCCTCCAGATTTCGGCCACCACCACCGCCATCGGTGTGAACTATGGTACGTTGGGAAACAACCTTCCGCCACCAGCTCAAGTGGCTGACTTTCTAGCAACAAAAACACATATTGATCGCATTAAAATCTTTGATACAAACCCTGAAATTCTTCGTGCCTTTGCCAACACTAACATTTCTGTGACTGTGACCGCGGGCAACGGTGATATTCCTGCTCTTACTAAGCTCTATGCTGCTCGCCAGTGGGTTACTGCAAACATAGCTCCCTATTATCCACAAACAAAGATTATTCGTGTTGTTGTTGGTAATGAAATCCTGCAAAGTGCCGTTAAGGATTGGATTTATAATCTTGTTCCAGCCATGAAAACTCTTAACCAGGCTTTGGTCGATGCTGGGTTCAAAGATATTAAGGTTCGATAAAATGCTCCATGTTATGATAAGTAAACCTAGAATGCAGATCAACAATTAATCTAACTTCATATAATTAAATTCGAGTCAAAATATTATTAGGTAGTTTTTTTTTTTTAATTACATTATGTCATTTCATAATTAAAACTTTTCGCAGGTTTCAACACCGCACACTCTAGGCTTTCTCGAGGCGTCTGAGACACCAAGTGAAGGAAAGTTCAGAGTTGGCTACGATAAACAAATAATAGCGCCAATGCTTCAATTCTTACGTGAAACCAAGTCAGATTTTATGATTAACCCATACCCTTATTTCAGTTACTCACCAATAATGGAAAATTACGTGGTATTCAAAGCCAACCAAGGAGTGTATGACAAGAACACTCGCATCACATACTTTAACATGTTTGATGCCCAAATGGACGCTGTCTATTCCGCCATGAAAAAGCTTGGTTATGGTGACGTGCCCGTTGTGGTGGCTGAGACTGGTTGGCCCTCGGCTGGAGACCCGGATCAGCCAGCTTGCACTTTGGAAAATGCACGCTCATTTAATTGGCACTTAGTTAGGCAAGTTAAGGCCAGGAGAGGAACACCTTTGATGCCCAACCGCCGATTCGAGACTTATATTTTTGCCCTCTTTAATGAGAATCTCAAGCCGGGTCCTACAGCTGAGAGGAATTTTGGGTTGTTTAATCCAGATTTCACCCCAGTTTATGATGCTGGTATTGTGAAGGTGTGCATATTAACATTTTTGGTCAAATTGTTTTGACCTTAAACTGATTATTATCAGGCCAAATTTCATATGTCGTAATAATATTTTCTAGAATCATCTTAACATAAAATCTATTATCGAATTCAATTTGATATGTACAATCGTTGATTTTTTTTTTTTTTTTTTCTAATGTTCATGTTTTTTATTTAGGCTACAAAAACGCCATCAACACCGATAGCAGGCAAGAAATATTGTGTAGCAAAAGCAGAAGCTGATGATAAAGCCTTGCAATCAAACATAGATTATGTGTGCAGCAAGGGCGTAGACTGCAAGCCCATTCAAGTTGGTGGAGCTTGTTTCGATCCCAACACTGTGCGATCTCACGCAGCCTTTGCAATGAACTCTTACTACAATGTTTTTGGACGCAATGATTTTGACTGCGGTTTTGCTGGAACGGGTATCATTACCTCTCAAAATCCAAGTAAGATTGTTATAGCATTCTCTTAATTAATATTTTTAATTAAATTAAGTTGATAATTAAACTATTTCTAATTTCTAATGGTTATTGATTTTTTTTCTATTTTTAATATGTTTTTGAGTACAGGCTATGGCAACTGTGTCTACTAAAGAGGATCGTATTTCGTAGATCATGATATGGTCGGCTTCATTAACTGTAGATTATGATGTTTGTTAATATATTTTCATATGTAATGATGTGTGTAGCTCAGATTTGACCTTAATTACTTCAACGAATAAGTGTACTCGTCATTTATTAAATAAAAGAATTAACATTGTGCATGATAATGGAAGTTTATGATTTTTGCAACAGCTGCTAAAGTCGTTTGTTTTATTGTTTAACCACTGAACAAGGATTCAGAAAGAAAATGAGTTGATTATTTTGATCTAAAGGTACGTAATCAATTTATTATTAATTATTAAATCACTCAATAACAATAACTTCAATCGTGGTTCTCTCCATTCCAATATTAACATTGGATTGTATATTATATTCATGAAAGGATACGTTACGTTAAATTTCAATATTAATGTTAGACCTTTTAAGTTGGATGATTTTGATATTTGATTCAAATAATTTAGGAAATGTTTATAAGAATATCGTACAATTCAATCTATGATTCTATGACCAAAAAATATTTGATCTTAAATATTAAAATCACTTATAGATTAATCAAAATTACATGTGAAGAGATATCACACTATCTCGGTTAACTGGAGTTAAATAAATTAGCAACAATATTTTTCTGCTTCTGACATCTTTGTGACTTCAAACCTCTACCATTCTCTTCTCCTATTATCACTTACTAAAGTCTCTCAAACCTTACTCTCGTTGATCTTACCAATTGCCGGCAATCGAGTGATTTGTGAAACGTAAAGTTGCTCTTCCCAAGTCAGATTTCGATTAATCTTAACTATCAAAATCTAATTTACCACTGTCAAAAGACTCATCGACATCCCCTCTTAAAAAACGCTAACAACTTGAACCGAGTTTGTTCTCTGTTGGCCACCGAATCAAAAAAGATATTTTGAATAGTAAATGGAATATAAACATTGAGTGAAAAAGTGGTATTTTAAAACGTTGTGAGTGGGCAAGTGTCTTTAAGACAAAGCTTGGGTGGGAAAAAGTCAGTTTGCTAAAATACCACATGGTACCACTCATCCACCCTTACCATGTCGAGTTGTCAACAATATCAATGTCTCCTTCTACCTTGGGCAAGTTTTTAATCTTCTTCTAAACTCACCGTAGTCGATTCGTTTAATTTAGTCCTAAGCCCATTTCTTTGATTCAATTAATTTATATTCAATCTAAAATATATGTATTACAACTAGAGAACTCAAATGTTTTATCTTTCACCTAAACATAACCAAACTTGTATAATTTTGTTTTTCTTTTTTTTTTTTTTTTTGAGAAAAAAAAATTGTCTGTAGAACGCTTTCGTAGCACATAGGATTAACTATATGCATTTTCATATATTAAAATACAGTAATTCAAATCATGAAAAGATTTAAATTCTTTAAATAAAAAAAAAATTAATGTAATGGTCTCGCCATCTACCTGCCTGCTTAACTGGGATGACATGGATTTTATTTATTTTTTCTCTATGCTATGGGCTCGGCTTTCGGTTCTGGATGGGGTGGTACAATTACTGCATGGTTGTTGTGTGTTTGGCTATGTTTCTCAGCCCTCTATTAGGTGGTTGGATCCATTTTGTCTGCTTCAAAGGGATTTGGTTACTGTCCTGCTCTTTGTTTTTTTTGCTGTTATGTGAGAATTGGTGGGTGGTCTTTGGGGGTTGGCCAGCTTGGCCTTGCACTGGTTAATTAGGAAGGTTTATTATTGTGGAAGAAGTTGTTTTTTCCGTGGTGTGTTAGTTCGAAGGATTTCAGCGAAGGGGAACGCGGACTACTCTTTTGTGGTGTTGGCTTCCTCGCCTTCTTTGCTGGTTTTGAAGACTAATGGATCAGTTGTTATTGTGTGCTGGAGAGGGATTATCAGTTGGTTAAATATTGGAAAGATTTGGGCTGGAGTCTGACATGGGGTGGTATGTTAAGGCGGCTGGTTTGTTTTCCGGGCTGGACAAGGATGATTATTGGGCTTGGGAAGACTGGGTTACTTTGCTTGGGCCTCTAGAAGGGTGTCTGCATCTGGTCTTTGTGGTGGGGGGCCTGCTATCCATTTCTCCGTGGGCTGTGGTGTGCCTTTCTCCTTTTTCGGGTTGTTGCTGTCGGCCTCTTTTTTAGCGGGCAGGCCTTTGTGTCTTTATTTGGGCCTGTATTCTTCTTAGTGTAGCTGGGCTACGCCCACTCTTTTTTGGGCTTCTGCCTTTGTTTTTTGGTTGTATAGCCTTTCCATTTACACAAGCCTGGGTCTGTCTGGGCCAAGTGTATAGATTGCTTTTTGTGAGGTTTTGTTTTGGTGTTTACCCCTTGGGCCTGTCCAAGGGTTTGCAAGTTTAAGGGTTAATACCTTATTTTTGTATCATTCTTTTCTTCTTCTAATATATTTACCGAGGTTACCTTAAAAAAAAAATTGTATAAATATATAATTTCCAAAAAAAAAATAATAAAAAATTATAAAAAATAAGAAAGATTCGATAATAAAAAGTTATAAAAATTTGAAAAAATAAATAAAATCTGAAAAACATTGTGCTGGAATGGAATAAAATTTATAATTTTTAGATGAAAATGTCCTTAGTATTAAGTTAAGTTATATATATATATATATATATTTGTTTTGTTAGGCAAAAAAATTTCTTGAAAATATATTAGGCAAACTAACCTAATAATTCAAAATATTTCGTAAAATATTTAAATTGAAATAGCATATTCTATATATGACTAATTTTTTTTATTTAATAAAATATATTATTTTATTTATAAAATTAAAAAAAAAAATTATAAACTTCAAAACCAGTCAATGGCTCAATGCTGATCAAATCGCTTGACAGCGACATTCTTTCACTTTTTGGGTGTCACTGCTGGCTAGTGAAGAGTCTACGGCCACAGATCTGGCAATATGGGTGGACATCAGCCACCAAAGACCGACATATTAACATAAAGTGCGATGGCCGTATGTTTTGTCACTACACTTGACGTCAATACATTGGTCTCTAACGACCGATGTCCATCCAAATTAGGCGTGTGCAATTTTTTTTAGGGCAGATTCAAAACCAACGACTACCTGAGGTGTCGGTTCTGGTTCCAAAATTTGATGGAACCAACACTATGTAGGTCAGTGTATGATTCCACCACTTTAGGAACTGAACCTGGAATCGGAATTGAGGTCTAGGTACCTGAGGTGGAACCGAGAGGTATCCGGGGTGTATTTAGAATTTTTGTAAATAGTTGGGGGTTAGTTTATTTTCACAAGGTATATTGATCATTTTTGTGAACAAAAGGGGTGTATTGGTAATTTTTTATGAATTGTGTCGGGTAGCCAAAATTGAAACCTTAACCACAGGTTTTGGTTTCGGTTCCAAGCATTTAGGAACTGGGTTCTGACTTCAGTTCCTAAATCCTAGGAACTGTCGGGTTCGATTCCAAGGCTTAGGTTAGGTACTCGGACTCACTCACCCCTAGTCAAGATCATTAGATCGAGGTCATAGACTCTTCACTCGCCAGTGGTGACATTGGAAAAGAAAAAGAACTTTGCCATCCGACAACTTTGATCGGCGATGACCAGTTGTGAAGTTTATAAATTTAAAAAAAAAAAATTAAGAAAAAGAATATATTTTATATTATAGTTTTTTTAGTTTTATAATTTTTTTCAATTCTTCATAATTTATTTTTTTTATTGTAACTGACTTTATTTTTATTGTTTCTAAAATTTATTAAGCCTAAAATCAATATAAACCAAACTAGGGGTGAAAAATACAATTACAAAAGTTTGGGTGAGAAAATGCTATTCAGCCTCGTTAAAAATTATAAAGGCAAATAGTAAAGGGTACTAGCTTTGCCCCTGGTGGCTGGTAGATTACATATTCCATTGATGATGGTTGACGACGGGTGGGACATTGTATTTTTCCAAGTTTATGGGTGGGAATGAAATTACAGAAAACCTTGGGTGGGAAATGTTATTATTCTAATGTTTATTATAAGACATTGAGACATGAGTGATGACTCATTATAATTTCTTCAAACTTCTTTAAATTTCTTTGAACTCGATATCTTTAATATGATAATCATGCTTTATTTATAGTTGAAGCCAAAACTTTGATCCTAATTACCTGGTCAAAACTATAATTAACTATCTCATTTGCGGAATTTGAAAACAACAAATCACCACTCTTTGACCCAGAAATATATCTTGACATTCTCATTATAAGTAGTGTACATATATTGCTTGCATTTCAAAACAGCCTGATCTCAATAAGCAGTATCATCAATAACAACATCAAGAATAAGAATAATGGCCATGGCAAGCACCACCAATGTCTTCCTTGTCAGCATCTTGGTCCTCAACTTGTTGACCGTCACCACTTCTCAGCAGGCAGAAAAGAAATTTTGTGTGCCAAAACCATACGCCAATGATCAAGCCTTGCAAGCCAATATCGACTATGCTTGCGGTAGCCCAGGTGTGGATTGCAAGCCAATTCAAGCTGGTGGAGATTGCTTTGAACCCAATAATTTGAAATCTCACGCAGCTTTCGCCATGCTGCTTACTACAACGCAATGGCCGCGCTGAACAATCCGCGATTCTATCAAAGTGAACCCTAACCGTTGAACCAAGTAAGATTCTTATAAACTAGCCAGTTTTACTTAAGTATGAGGTAGAACATTTTTTTTTTTTAAACTTAAAATTCTGAAACTAATTCTTTCAATTTTTATTTGCATTTGAGTGCAGGCAGCGGTAAGTGTTTCTTTGTTTGATATCATAGGAGGAAGATATATAATTAGCAGATCAAGGGTGCTGACTACTCTTATGCTAATTTTATCAAGACATGTTATATTAAGATTGTTTGTTTAATTAAATATTAATATTAGATTTTTTTTTGTTTATGACTTTGATATGTTAATAAAATTATCGCACAATTGATTTAAAATTCTATGAAAAAAAATTTGAGATTTAAATATTAAGATAAATCGATTATCTCCTGATCGAAATTAAAGAAAACGACAACATTTTTTGACTTTATCAAGCAAGTGCATACCTTCACTTCCTTGCTCTAATTTAACTTGTTATTTCGAACTGATTGTTCTTCTTACAATTGAGAAATACAATGCCAACCTCACAAGTTACAACTATTAATTATGGGAAACGAAAGAGCCTAAGTTCACTTTTATCCTTATGAACTGTATTACTTAGGTTTGCAATAACAGTATCATCTTCTAAATCAGCAGTAGTTTTTTTTTTTTTTTGTTTTCCTCTATTTTAGTACTTTGATTGGAATTATAAAAAATGTCCTCCTTACATCCCTTCATATCATCTGATAAAAATGTCTACGAGATCTTTCACGGCTCTCTTCCTCTTCACCAGCTTCATCCTCCAGCTCACGGCCACTACCACTGCCATCGGTGTGAACTATGGACGCTGGGAAACAACCTTCCCACCTGCTGAAGTGGCTGACTTTCTTGACAAAAACACATATTAATCGCATTAAAATCTTTGATACAAACCCGGAAAATTCTTCGTGCCTTTGCGAACTCTAACATTTCTGTGACGGTAACCGCTGGCAACGGTGATATTCCTGCTCTTACTAAGCTTGATGCTGCCCGCCAATGGGTTGCTACAAACATAGCTCCGTATTATCCACAAACAAGAATTATTCGTGTTGCTGTTGGTAATGAAATCCTGCAAAGTGCTGTTAACGATTGGATTTATAATCTTCTTCCTGCAATGAAAACTCTTAACCAGGCTTTGATTGATGCTGGGTTTAAAGATATTAAGGTTAGATATAATGTTCCATATTATATAAAGTTAAAACTAGAATGCAGTTCAATAACTAGTTAAATTTATATAATGTCATTTCATAATTAAATTTTTTTGCAGGTTTCGACACCGCATACCCTAGGCTTTCTCGAGGCGTCTGAGCCACCAAGTGAAGGAAGGTTCATAGTTGGATACGATAAACAAATAATAGAGCCAATGCTTCAATTCTTACGCGAAACCAAGTCAGTTTTTATGATTAACCCTTACCCTTATTTCGGCTACTCACCACAGATGGAAAATTACGCGGTATTCAAAGCCAACCAAGGAGTGTATGACAAGAACACTCGCATCACATACTTTAACATGTTTGATGCCCAAATGGATGCTGTATATTCTGCCATGAAAAAGCTTGGTTACGGTGACGTGCCCATTGTGGTGGCTGAGACCGGTTGGCCCTCAGCGGGAGACCCGGATCAACCGGCTTGCGCTTTGGAAAATGCACGCTCATTTAATTGGCACTTAGTTAGGCAAGTTAAAGCCAGGAGAGGAACACCTTTGATGCCCAACCGCCGGTTCGAAGCTTATATTTTTGCCCTCTTTAATGAGAATCTTAAGCCCGGACCAACCGCTGAGAGGAATTTTGGGTTGTTTTATCCAGATTTTACCCCAGTTTATGATGCTGGTATTATGAAGCTATGAATATTGTCAGGCGAAATTACATACGTTTACTAATAATATTATTAAATAAAAGAATTAGCATTGTTCATGGTGATGGAAGTTTGTGATTTTTGCAATTCCCAGCTGCTGAAATAGTTTTCTGTACTCATATTATTAAAAATATACCAGCCATTCTTTTGACTACCGAACAAGGATTCAGAAAAGGAAATGACCTAAAACGATTTCATTAATTTATCACATGCTTACTTATAATTATCACAATATTAAACGTTTATAGAAATGTTGTTACATCTAAAGGTTTGTAATGAATCTATTATCCATAATTAAATCACTCAATAACGAAATATCTTCAGCGGCGGTTCTCTCGATTCCAACGTGTAAATTGGATTTCACATTATATATGAGAGGATGTCGTTACATTTAAATATAAATATTAAACTTTTTCAGTTCAATATTTTGAAATTTATATCAAATAATTAAGCAAATGTTTACAAAAATATCATACAATTCGTTCTAAGATTCTATAAACAAAAATATTGTGATATTACATATTAAAATCAACGATGAATCAAGCAAATTACATGCGAAGAGATATCACCACTATCTATGTGAACTGGAGTTATATGAAGTAATAAAATATTATTTTGAGGCGGGAGTGAAAATGCTTCAGAATAGGAATAGAATGTTTCAAGCAAGTTCTCACCTTTTTTTCTGCGTTATCAAGCAAGTTCTCACCTTCGCCTATTGGCTCCATTAAATTTAATGTATGAACTGATTGTTCTTCGTACAATTCAAAGAAATTTAATGCAACCTTACAACATTCATATTTATGGGTGAGCGGGTCCGGGTGCCCGGCTTAATCCCTTGGAACCTGACTTGGAACCGGACCTTCAGTTCCAAGGATTTAGGAATCGAAACCGAAACCGGACCCGATCGGTTCCGGTTCTTGAATTCCTAGAATCAGAACCTATATCATAGGTTCCGAGTTCGGGTACTCGACATTGTTCACACAAAATTACAAATAAACCCCTCATGTTTGCAAAAATAATAAATATACCTTGTAAAAATTACAAATACAACTTGGGTACTCATTGGTTCCACCTCAAGTACCCAAACCTCGGTTCCGGTTCTGATTTTAGGTCCAGGTCCGGTTCATGAAGTGGTGAAATTGGACCTAGACCTACACAGTGTTGGTTCCACCAAATTTGGAATTGAAACCGGCACCCCGCATACTCATCAGTTCCGATTCTACCCTAAAAACTTGGTTACCTACTCATACATATAAATATGATATATGATCTACATATAGAAAGATACCTAGACTAGAAAGAACTAATGTCAAGTGTTAATTAAGGAGGATAAAGATATCAAAACAAATATATTACTAAATAGAAAGATACGAAGATTCAAAGATGCTCAGATTGATCTTTTAGAGCAAGTAACAAAATTTAGTGTTTGAACCGAGAAAAAATGAGAGAAAATAATCCGCTTGTATTAATAATTTCGGGGAAGAATTTTCTCCCATTACCTGTGATCTCCTCCTTTTATAGGTACATCTCTTTGGAAGGAGAAAAAAATTAAAGAGCTGATTACATTTTACTAACGAACTCTTAACTAAATCCGGCTCCTACAAATTATACTTAGTTTAAATTATACTTATTACAATTGCAGAAGCTTATGAATATGTTCAGCTTTTACCTAAGCATATTTTGGTAGTTTATGGGATTAGTTATTTGCATTTTGATCAATATTAAAAAAAATAGTAATTCAAATCATAAAAAACATTTAAATTCTTTACAGAAACACAAAATTAACATAAAGGTCTCACCATCTACATATATGTTATTATATATTTAATGTTTTTTATGAGACAAGGGCGATAACTAATTATATTTTCTTCGAACTTCATTAAATTTCCTTGTAACTCCATATCTTTAGGCTTGCCTTGCGGTTAAGGTAAAAATTTTGATCGTAATTAATTGGTCAAAACTATAATGATTTATCCGATATGAACAACAAATCACTGTACTCACATTATATATAGTTTACATGTGTTACTTGCATTTCAAAACAACCTGAATTTTATAAGCAATATCATCAATAATAGCAGCAACAATAAGAATAATGGCGATGGCAAGCACCACCAATGTCTTCCTTGTCAGCATCTTCGTCCTCAATCTGTTGACAGCCACCACTTCTCAGCCGGCATAAAAGAAATTTTGTGTGCCAAAACCAGACGCTAATGATCAAGCCTTGCAAGCAAACATCGACTATGCTTGCAGCAACGGTGTGGATTGCAAGCGTATTCAAGCTGGTGGAGATTGCTTTGAACCCAACAATTTGAAATCTCACGCAGCTTTCGTCATGCATACTTTCTACAACGAGAATGGCGGTAATGAACACAACTGCAATTTCTCTCAAAGTGGAACCCTCACCACTGAGAATCCGAGTAAGACTCTTATAACTTGGCCAAGTTATTATCTTTAAACTCTTAAATTTCTTATATTAATTCTTTCCATTTTTATGTGTATTTGCATATAGGCAGCGGCAAGTGTGTCTATGCTTGAGATCACAAGAGGAAGATACTGTATATACTATATAGTTGGCAGATCAAGGCTGCTTGCAGAGCAATTCCTACTGCCAATTATATCAAGACATTTATGTTATTTTTAGCTTTTCCTTTAATAAGAGAGCTTGTAGTACTTTTTGACCACCAAGTGTACTCATTTTATCAAAGGGAAGAGCATTATTCACTATTCAGCAAGTGTTCATTTTTATGTATGAAACTGATTTCTCTTGATCTTAATTAAAAAAAATAATAATAATAAATAAATTCAATGCAACCTTACAACTTACAACACTCATACAAATAAATACAATATATAATCTATATATAGAGAGCTATCTAGACTCAAAAAGAACTAATGTCAAGTGTTAAAAATATGATAAAAAGATTAATTCTAATCTCTCATCACTATGCAAAGGATCCTTCTTCCTTTCATGAGAAAACCTCATTTGTAGTTTTTTTTAATGAATTATTTTAAAACAAATTACTTCATGTTTTTTTTACCCTAGATTGAACCTAATAAAGTTATTATATTGCTTTCTTATAAATGAGAAATATATATACAAATTGC